ACGGCGGCGAAGCAAGGATGTGGAGCGGGAGGGGGAGTGCTCAGCTGTGCATTAATGAGGGTGAGTAATGGTGAAGTGCGAGTGGGGAAGAAGAGTAGTGATAAAGGAATGTTGAATGACAAAAAAGCGTAGAAAAGAGGTGATAACCGGTAGAGGAGGAGAGAGAGAGAGAGGGAGAGTGAAGGGGAGAGGGAGGGAGAGCCACGAGATAAGAGAGGATGGAAGAAAAGGGTGATAGGAAGAGAACGGATATATTTGGAGTAGAACTGTCGGAATGAAAGATGTAAATCCAGGAATGAGCAGTGGAAATTACCCAGAGAGAGAGAGAGACCGAGAGAGAGAGTAGAGAGGTATTTAGTTGACGGATGATATGATGAAGATATGGAGAGGGGAGAGATGAGAGATCGAGTGATTGAGAGAGAGAGACAAAGATTTATTGAGTAATTACGATTGAGACAATGGCTGGTTCACAAGGAATCAATGTAGAATGAGGAAGAGGGACAGAGAATAGCGTCGGCGTATTGAAGAGCATTGATAAAGAAACCCAACCTTCAATCTTTGCCTCTTCTCACATCTATCAATTCAAATTCTGCACACTCAAACATCTATCATCCAATTGCACACTCCACAATCATCTACCAAATCAATTGCACACCACAATCTTATCATAAATTGCAACACTCACAATCTATCAATCAATTGTCACACTCCACCAATCTTTCAATTCAATTGCCCACACTTCACATTCTTATCAAATCAATTCACACTCACCAATCTATCAATCAATTCCACACTCACAATCTATCAATCAATTGCACACACTTCACAACCCTTTCTACCAATCAATCTCGCACACTCACAATCTATCAAATCAATTTCACACTCACAATCTATCAATCTAATTGCATCACATCCACAAATCTATCCTATATTCATTGCACACTCAACAATCTATCAATCAATTGCACACTTACAATTCTATCAATCAATTGACACTCACATCAATCTATCAATCAATTGCACACTCACAATCTATTCAATTCAATTGCACACTCACAATTCTACAATCAATTTGCACACTCACAAGTCTCTATCAATCAATTGCACACTCACAATCTCATCTATCAATCCATCAATCAATTTGCACACTCACAATCTACCAATCAATTGCACACTCACAATCTATCAATCAATTGCACACTCACAATCTATCAATCAATTGCAGACTCATAATCTATCAATCAATTGCAGACTCGCAATCTGTCAACCAATTGCAGACTCACAATATATTTATCTACCGCAGACTCACAATCTATCAATCAATTCTCACTCTACCGCAGACTCACAATCTATCAATCAATTGCAGACTCACAATATATTTATCTACCGCAGACTCACAATCGCATCAACCAATTGCAGTAGTTCATTTATAGACTCAATGAAAAGAACAATAACATTCACAGGTTACTCAAAATACTCATCCCCTGCTCTTTCCTCTCCAGTCTTACCTTCATAAATAATTTCCTAAAATTAAAAATAATAATAATAAATAATAATAATGATGATGATAATGATAATGATAATAATAATAATAATAATAATAATAATAATAATAATAATAATAATAATAATAATAATAATAATAATAATAATAATAATAATAATAATAATAATAATAATAATAATAATAACAACAACAACAACAATATTAATAAATAATGATGATATTAACAATTACAATAATAATAACAATAATCGCAATAATAATTATAACAATAACAACAACAATAACAAGAAGAAAAATCACAAAAATAATAACAATAACAATAATAATTCATCGGCCTGTCCTTGTCTACCGTGCCGTTCTTCTTGTTCATCGGCTTGTTCTTCTTGTTCCCATCCTGCTCATCTTTATCGCCCTTTTTCCATGTTCATCATTCTATTCCTGTTCATCGCCCTGTTCTCCATGTTCATCATACTACTCCTGTTCATCGCCCTGTTCGTGTTCATCATCCTATTCTTGTTCATCGCCCTGTTTTTCTTGTTCGTCGTCCTGCTCTTCTTGTTCATCGCCATGTTCTTCTCGTTCGCCGTCCTGCTCATCTTTACCGCCCTGTTCTCCATGTTCATCATTCTATTCCTGTTAATCGCCCTGTTCTTTCTGTCCATCGCCCTGTTCTTGTTCGCCCTGTTTCTGCTCTTCTTATCAATCGACCTATTCTTCATGATCATCAACCTATTCGTACCCGCCGCCCTGTTCTTCCTGTTCATCGCACTGTGCTAATGAGTTCTCTAACGCGTCCGAGATGCAACCGAGCGACGCCACGGTTTTGGACACAAAGCGGGTCCTTTGTACGTCACAGGGCGATAGGGACTTACCATAATCAAGAGGCGACTAATAGCAGATATTATAAGGCCAGATTTTTTTTTTTTTTTTTTTTTTTTTTTTTTTTTTTAACGGACTCAAATTATAATTTTAGCTTTCCATTTACTTTTTTTAGTAGAGGGTGGGGGAAAAGGAGAGGGAGAAAAAGAGATCGCGGAGGGAGAGAGCGAAGAGAATGATATATATAGAAAGAAGAGAGAGAGAGAGAGAGAGAGAGAGGAAGAGAGAGAGAGAGAGAGAGAGAGAGAGAGAGAGAGAAGAGAGAGAGAGAGAGGAGAGAGAGAGAGAGAGAGAGAGAGAGAGAGAGAGAGAGAGAGAGACCCGAGAATTTCCCTATCTTCCCGCTTCCCATCCTTCCCCACCTTTATTCCCCTCGCCCTTACCCCTCTCATTCGTTACTTCGCCTCCCACTTAAGTCCCGCCAGCATGGAAGAGGGAGATGGAGAGACTATCAAAGGGAAGGAGAGGGAAAGTAAACAAAAGGAGGAGAGGCAGAGAAAGGCCGAGCATATGGAAAGTAGACCAGGGATTTAAATCTGATTGCCTGACTGATTGAATGATACACATGCACATGCACGCACACACACACACGCGCACACACACACAAACTTCTCTATCTGTCCCCGTGTCTGTCTCTCTCTGTTTCTCTCGTTCTCTCTCTCTTCCTCTCTTTTCTCTTCTCCTTCTCTCTCTTTCTTTCTCTCTCTCTCTCTCCCTCTCTTCTTTCTCTCTCTCTCCCCTCTCTTTCCTCTCTCTTCTCTCTCTCTCTCTCTCCCTCTCTTTCTTTTCTCTTCTCTCTCTCTCTCTCTCTCTCTCTTTCTTTCTCTCCCCCTCTCCCCCTCTCCTTCTCCTCCTCTCTCTCTTCCTCCCTCACCTCTCCTCTCCCACCCCCTTCTCCATCTCTCTCCTCCCGTCTCCCTTCTCTCTCTCTCCCCATCTCCTCTCCCTCTCCCCTCTCCTTCTCTCCCTCCCCTATTTCACTCTCCTCCTCTCTCCCACTCCTCTCTTCCTCTCCCCTCCTCTCCCTCTCTCTCTCTCCTTCTCCTTCCTTAATATGAAAAAAGAAACAATCCAAAATCCAAAACAAACCCCCTTTTAAAACAACCTTTCTTCAAATCCTTCTCCCCCATTTCCCCCTCCCCTCCCCCTCCATTCCCCTCCCCCCATCCCCATTACGGACCTATTATGACCCTATTAGAACCCCCCCCCCCCCACCACGGGACCTTCTTAGCGCGCGGGGGATGAAATATCACACTGGCGGACGGCGCTTAATTCTTTTCCATTGATAGCATTCAGCTTCCAGTCCTTCGGGTACTTCAGCCCGAGCCTCATCTGGGCTCTCTCTCCCTCTCCTCTTCCCTCTCGCTCTTCGGTCTCGGTTCTTGCGTTTTGGTCTGGTGTGTCTATCACTCTGTCTGTCTATCTATATCTCTTTTCTCTCTCTTTCCCTCTGCCTCTCTCGTTCCCTCTCACATTCTCTCTCTCTCTCTCTTTCCCTCTTACTCTTTCTTTCCCCTCTTACTTTCTCTTCTCCTCTTCACACATTCTTTTTCCCTCTCACATTATTTTTCCCTTCACACTCTTTTCCTTCTCACATTCTCTTCCCGCTTACTCTCTTTCCATATCACTCACTCTTTCCCTCTTACTCACTCGTTCCATGTCACACTCTCTGTCCCTCTCACTCATTATTTCCCTCTACCTTTTCCTTCTCACTCATTATTCCCTCTACCTCTTTCCTTTCCTTCTCACTCACTCCTTTCCCCTCTTCCTCTCTTTCCTTTTCACTCACCCTTTTCCTCTCATATTCTCTTTCCCTCTCACTCTCTCTTTTCCTCTCACTAACTCTTTCCCTCTCACTCTCTCTTTTCCTCTCACTAACTCTTTCCCTCTCACTATCTCATACTTTCTTTCAATCTCACTCATTCTTTCCCTCTCACATTGTCTTTCCTTCTCACACACTCTCTCTTTCCCTTTCACATTCTCTTTCCCTCTCTCATTAGCTCTTTCCCTCTCACTCTCTCTTTCCTTCTCACTCTCTCTTTCCCTCTCACATTCTCATTCCCTCTCACTCTCCATCTACTCGTACCCCCCTCCCCCTCCCCCTCCCTCTCTCATTCTTCTACGTTCCATATGAGCTCCCACTCGCCCTCCCCCACCTCCCACCTTTCCCCCCTCCCCCGAACAGATGTTTATAGGCTCCCCCGTCCCTCCCCCCGTCCCCCCAACCCCTGTGCGGTTTGGGTAGGACTACGGCTTGCAATAAACCTCTATGTTGCAAACCGTTATGCCCCATTTTTACGGCCCCGGCGGTGTATATAGGCTGTGGCCACGTTACTGGGGACGGGGGAGAGGAGAGGGAGGGTAAGGAGGAAGAAGGGAGATGGAAAAATGAGGGAGAAGGGGAGAAGAAGGGAGATGAAGAAATAGGAGAAGGGGAAGAATGGAGATGAAGAAATGAGGAAAGGGAGATGAAATGAGGGAGGAGGAAGAAGGGAGATGAAGAAATGAGGGAGAAGGGGAAGGGGGATGAAGAAATGAGGAGAAGGGGGAAGAAGGGAGATGAAGAAATGAGAAGGGAAAAAGGGAAAGTGTGGAAATGAGGGAGATGAAGAAAATGAGGGAAAGGGAAGAAGGCGAGTGCTGGAAGAAAGGTAAGGACCTAGGATGGGAGAGGGCAGAGAGAGGGCAGAAGGGAGAGAGAGAGGGAGNGCCCTCCTCCACCTCCCCCCTTCCGCTCGTCCCTCCGAACAGATGTTATAGGCTCCCCGTCCTCCCCCCGCCCCCATACCCCCTGTGCGGTTTGAGGTAAGGACTACGGCTCTGGCAGTATAAACCACTCTTGGTTGCAAACCGTTATGTCCCCATTTTTTCGGCACCGGCGGTGTATATAGCTGTCGGCGCACGTTAACTGGGACGGGGAGAAGGAAGGAGGGTAAAGAAGGGAAAGAAGGCGAGAATGAAAAGAGAGAAGGGGGAAGGACAGGGAGATTGAAGAAATGAGGGAGAAGGGGAAAGGCATGGGAGATTGAAGACATGAGAGGAGAAGGGAGATTGAAATGAGGGAAGGAGGAGAAGGAAGGGGGTGAAGAAATTGAGGGAGAAGGGGGAAGGAAGGGAGATGAAGAAATGAGGAGAGAAGGGGGAAGAAGGGAGATGAAGAAATGAGGGAAAAAGGGAAATGTGGAAATGAGGGAGATGAAGAAATGAGGGAAAGGGAAGAAGGGGCGAGTGCTGGAAGAGGTAAGGACCTAGGATGGGAAGAGGGCAGAGAGAGGGGCAGAAGGGAGAGAGAGAGGGAGAGGGAAGAAGAGATAAAGACGGGGGAAGTAGGAAGGTAGGATGGAGGAGAGGAAAGGGGGGATTGGGATAGCAAGAGGGGTGGGAAGTAGGGCGGTAAGGCGTGGGGAGAGGGGGGGGGAGAGACAGGAGAGGGGTTGGGGGGGGGGCAAAAAGCTCATATACCTTTATTATGGAAAAAAAGGAAGACATACGGTGAGAGAGATTCGGAGGGGTGGGGAGGGAGAGAGCAGAAAGAGGAAGGGAAGATGGAGAAAGAAAGGAAGGAGGAGGAGGAGAAAGTGGAATAGGTGAGGAAGACTGAAAACATCTAATAATCTGGCTAATAAAGGACAGAAAAGAGGGATTGACTGTGGTGCGTGTGCGTGAGATCGGTCTCTTTCTATCCATCTATTCCTTATGGACAGAGATAAACAGGTAAATAGGTAGATAGATTGCTATATGATAAAAAGAAGAGAGAGAGAGATGTGAGGGAAAAGAGAATGAGGAGAGGACAGGTGAAGAAAAAAGAGGAAAGGAGAGGAGAGGAGCGGAGAAGAGAGAAGAGAAAAAAACGAGCAAACTGAAAAAGGAAAGAAAAAACACCCATTCCCTTCCCCTACCACACACACACACACACACACACACACACACACACACACACACACACACACACACACACACACAACACACACACACACAACACACACAGGCGACACACACACAAACAAGGAAACACACACACACACAACCAAAAGAACGACACACACACACACACAAACAAACAACCCCCCCAAACCAGCCCCCACAAACAACCCACCCACCCACCACCATCCGCCCACCCGCCCTAGAAAATGCACATAACCCAACATGGGCCGCCCCCCCCCCCGCCCACATCCCTTGATCCTCTTCATCAAAAACAAGGATCCCGCCCCGCCGCCAGATCACCTCGGATCCGCCGAACGCAACCCGCGATTAAATACGAACCAGTCGCGCGCTCTCTGCATGTATATATTTGAGAGAGAGAGAGAGAGAGAGAGAGATTGTCTATTTGTTTATGTGTATGTGTGCATTTACGTATGAGTGTACGTGTATACATGCATACATATACATACACACACACACAACACACACACACAACACATATATGTATATATACACATATGTATGTATATGTATGTATGTATGTATATGTGTATATATATATATATAATATATATATATAATAAATAAATTAATACATTTTAGGGGGGAAGGGGCACAGATAGGTACAAATATCAATCTACTTATATATATACACAAAGAGAATGAGATTGTAAAAAAAATACGTTGGCATAGTTTCCATTCGTTTATCGGCCAATCAATAACAGCAGCAAACAACACACTAACACAACCACACACCCTTTGCCTCACCCTCCAAACACGCGAAAATCTGAATGAAAGAGTGAAAGAAAAAAAAAAAGAGATATATCCCCAAAACGCGAGAATCTGAATAAAAGAGAGAAAGAAAAGGACAATCGCCTTCTTACTCTCCAAACAACCAGACGAAATCTGAATGAACGAAAACCCTGAATGAATGAAAGAAAGAAAAAAAAATCAACCTCCAAAACACGCAAAAAATCTTGAATGAAAGAAAATCCTGAAATAAATAAATAAATAAAAAAGACAATCTACCTCCAAACACTCAAAAACCTGAATAAAAACATAGAAAGACAAAAGACAATCACCCTCCAAGTACGCGAAAATCTGAATGCCAGAAAAACCTGAATGAAAGAGTAAGAGAAAACAGACAATTACCCTCTTGCTCTCCAAACAACCAGTTGCACGCAGAAATCTGAATGAACGAAAACCCCGAATGAAAGAAAGAGAGAAACTTGACCTCAACGCCAAAATGAAACGCAGATAAACACACGTCGGTTGAATTACAAAAGAAAATGAATAAAGAAGGAAAGCATGAAAACAACCAGATAAGAAGAAGAAAAAAGAGAATACGCAAGAATACAAGTTAAAAAAAGAAAAAGAAAATAAAAACGCAATGAAAAGGGAAAAAGAACTTAGAGGAAAAGGGTCATATCGACACGCCGCTGCCACCAAATGAAAGAGGAAGAGTATGTACGAAAACAAGGGGGGGGGGAAGGGAGGAAGGAGAAACGTGGGAGAATGGAGGGAGGAGAGGAAAGGGGCGCGGATGGGAGAGGGAGGAGGGGGGCAGAGGTGGGGGAGGAGGGGGTGGGCAGACGTGTGGGGGGAGGTAGGGGAAAAGGGAGGAGGGGGGATAGAGGTGTGGGGGGATGTAGGAGGGAGTGGGAGGTGAGAAAAAAACGGAGGAAAGGGGGGGAGAGTGGAGGGAGATAGGGAGAGGTACAGAGAGGCAGAGGAAAAAGGGGGAAAGGTAAAGGAAATGAAGAAAAGAAAGGAAAGGAGAGGATGAGGTAACAAGAGAGGGATAAAGACAAAAAAGGGGGGAGGAGGAGGAGTGCGTGGGAGGGGCTTAGAAGGAGGAGGAGGAAAAGAAGGAGGAGGAGGGAAGAAGGTAGGAGGAGGAGAAAGAAGGAACAAGGAGGAGAAGGAAGAGGGAAGAAGGAGGAGAAGTAAGAGGGAAGGAGGGGGAAGAAGGAGGAGAGGAGGAGCAAGGGAGGGGGAGGGGGAACAAGGAGAGGGGGGGGGCATGGAAAAGAGAAAGGTGTAAATCTTTGGCGTAAACCCTTCCTGCGGTGGGCAAGACGTTTTGCAGGGGGGGAAGGGGGAGGGGAGGCAAGACGTTTGAGGGGCAAGAAAAGCCATAAAGATCAGGGTAACGGTCTGCAACTGTCGCGTTTATTGCACGACCCCCCCCCCCATTATCTCCAAACCTCCCACCCCATACACTCTTTTCTTCCTCATACTTCTATTCTTCCTTCTCCTTATTTTTTATTTTTTCTCTTTCTTCTCCTCCTCAATCTCTATCCTTCCCCTCCCTCCCTCCTCCTCCTCCTCTATCCTTCCCTCACCCACCCCTCTTTTAGCCCTTCTCCCTCCCTCTCACATTCCTCTACTCCCTTTCCCAAAATCAGTAAATTAAATCATGATCACGCATTCATGATCATCACTTGTTATGAAAATCATCACCTCATAAATTCTTCACTGTTGATATTAACCTCTCATTGTATCTATTCGTTATCGTTATTTTCATCACTATCATTACCACCACCAATCATACCGTTATTATATTAGTATTAGTATTAGTATCATTATCACTACCATTACCATCGTCATTACCATAATGACTATCATCATCATCATCATCATCATCATCATCATCATCGATCATCATTACCATCACCATTATATAATGAGTATCATCACCATCATTACCATGGCCATTACTAGAATGGCTGTCATCATCATCGTCATTACCAGGCTATTACCATCATCATCATCATCATTACCAAGGCTATTACCATCATCATCATCATATCACTATTCTGCATTATCATCATCATCATCCTCATACTCATATCACTTCCGCTACCTCGTCATCACCATATCGAACGACTATTTTCTTCAATTCCTCCACCTCTCTTCGTCCCTGCATCATCAATACCTTTCACTCTCTCATTATCGCCCGTCTTCTTCACCGTCTTCTTCTCTCTCCTTCGGAAATTCCTCTTAACGCCTCTCTCTTCACCTGTCTACCTTTATCTATCGATCAGTTCGTCTGTCTATCTGTATTGTCTTTTTGGTCTCGTATCACTACCATTGCACTGACATCTCAATCTGCATCAACTGACTTCTCCATTTTTGATGTCTACGTCTTCATCTAGCTTCCTTCTACTTCATACTCTTCTCTATCTACTTTAGCTACTCCTTCTACTTCATCTACTTCTTCTTATCTACCTACTTCACCAACTCCTTCATCTACTTATTTATCTATTTCAACCACTCCTTCTATTTCATCTACTTCTTCTTTACCTACTTCATCTACATCTACTTCAACTACTACTTCATCTACTCCTATTTCTTAATCTACCTCACCTACTCCTTCATCTACTTCTTCTTTATCTACTTAACCTACTCCTTCTACTTCATCTACTCCTTCTTAATCTACTTCACCTACTCTTACTTCATCTAATCCATCAACTTCTTTATCTACTTCACCTCCTCCTTTTACTTCATATACTTCTACTTCTTTTTTCTACTTTTTTATCTACTCCTTCTACCTCACCTACTTTCTATTTCTTCATCCACTCCTACTTCTCGACTTTTTCATCTACTCCTTCTACCTCTCTTCTATTTCGTCCAGCTCCGTTAGCTAATCTACTCCGAACTTTATCTACCACTTCACATCCTCTCCCCCTCCTCTTCCCCTTTTTATTCGACCTTTCCCTCTCCCTTGCTTCTAATCTCGTCTACTTTTCTAATTCCCCTTTCTTCTTATCTTCTTCCCCCTTCGTTTATTTGTTTTCTTAAAGCCTTTGTCTCTCTCTCTCTCTCTCTCTCTCTCTCTCTCTCTCTCTCTCTCTCTCTCTCTCTCTCTCTCTCTCTCTCGTCTCGTTCTTCTCTCTCTCTCCGTCTTCTCTGTTCTCGTTCTTTCTCTCTCTCTCGTCTCTTCTTCTCCTCTTCTCTGTCCTCTCGTTCTCTCTCACTTCTTTGTCTCTTCTCTCTCTCTCTCGTTCTTTCTCAGCTCTCTCTCTCTCTCTCTCTCTTCTCTCTCTCTTCTTCTCTCATCTCTCTCGTCTCTCATCGACTCTCTCTCCTCCTCTCTATCTCTCTCTCTCTCTCGTCTCTCCTCTCCTCTATTCTCTCTCTCCTCTCTTCTACTACCATCTTCTCTCTAATCTACTCTCATCCTCTCTCTTCTTCTCATCTCCTCATAACTCCCTCTCGATTCTTTCTTCTCTTTCTCTTCTGCTGTCTTCTCTTCCTCTCAATACATTCCTCTCCAACTCGAACCAATGTTATCTAACAAAAAAAAACATTATTATACTTTTTTATACTACCTATCTACTTTGGTTCATCTATCTTATCTTTTTCTTTGTTTATATCTGCTTTTCCCCTTCCCCTTCCCTCTCCTTCTCACTTCTTTCCATAACAAAAACCTTACTATTATTCTATTCCGTCTTATAAATAAATCGTTAAATCTCAAATCCGTTTTCCCCTTCCTCTTCCCCCCTCTTTCCCCTTTCTGTTCTCCTCTACATTTTCTACCTTATCTACATCTGCTTTTCTCTAATTAAATAATCGTCTCCTACGTATTTACTTACCTTTTATCGTTTTATATTCTCTTTTTTTTTTTCGTTTTTTACAATCCTTACTTCTCTTTTTCCTGTTCTTTTTCTGCTACGTTCCTCATTCTTTTTACCTCCCACTCCCCTCCCTTTTACCTTCCTAGCATCTACAATTAAGGATGAAAAAAGAAGGAAAAAATAGACGACGATGAAAAAGGTCGTACAAAAGTAAAAAATAAAACATTGAAAAATAGATAGATAAATAAATAAAAACTAACTATAAAACTAACTAACTAAATCAATAAAAAGTAAGTCTAAAATAAACATTGAAAAATAATAAATAAATAAAAAAGCAAGACGAGGCTTGAGAGTCCACGACCGAAAATCAGCTGGAAACCCCCGGGACCCCTACATCAGCGCTTCGTCGCCCTCACCATCGCCAATCGCTTCGGAAACCTTTCGGGAAAACCCTCGACAAAATCCCCCGAGGGAAGCCTTCGGAAACCCCTCGAGAAGCCTCCACAGATCCCCTCCGGAACCCCTTTAAAAACCCCTTCAGAAACCGTTCTTATATCCCCTCTGGAACCCTATCGGAAACCCCTTCAGGAACCGATCTAGAACCACTCTGAAACTCTTCGGAAACCCCTTCAGGAACCGATCTAGAACCACTCTGAAACTCTTCGGAAACCCCTTCAGAAACCGATCTAGAACCACTCTGAAATCTTCGAAACCCCTTCGAGAACCCTATCAGAAACCCTTCGAAAGCCCCTCCGGAACTCCTATCAAAAACCCCTATGGGAACCCTTCGGAAATCCCTCCAAATCCTCACAGAAACTACTTAGGAAAAACCCCTCTGGCAGCCCCTTCGGAAACCCTATCTGAAATTCCTTCGTGAACTCTATCGGAACCCCTTCGGGAACCCTATCAGAAACCCTATCAGGATCCCCTCTGAAACCCTTCGGAAACCTCTCTGGAATTCTTCAAAAATCCCTTCGGGAATCCCTCGAAAAAACTCCCTGGGAGCCTTCAGAAACCCCTTGGGAACCACTCGAAAACCCTATTAGAAACCCCTTGGGAACCTTCGAAACCCTATTCGAAACCCCTTGGGAATCCCTCGCAAACCCCTCTCGAACCCTATCAAAATCCCCTTCGGAAAACCCTTCGGAAACCCTTCAGAAATCCCTCGGGCCTTCCACACGATGGCTACGGCCTGTAAAATCAAGGAGGGATCCGAGGCCTGCGTCCCCCTACCCCCCCTACCGCCCTACCCCCCTCTCCCTCTACCCCTTCCCCTCTTACCTCTACCCCCCCACACCTACTCCGAGGGACGCCTACCCCCCCCCCCTCCCTTCCCTTTCGCTGTGGTTCGTTATTCTCTTATTATTCTCTTACTCTTTTGCGTGAACTGTTTATGTCATTTAGATAATTTCTATCATCTATTTACACTTTTTTGTTGTCATTTGTGTGTGTGTGTGTGTGTGTGTGTGGTGTGTGTGTGTGTGTGTGTGTGTGTGTGTGTGTGTGTGTGTGTGTGTGTGTGTGTGTGTGTGTGTGTGTGTGTGTGCGTGTGTGTGCGTGTGTGTGTGTGCGTGTGTGTGTGCAAGTGCGTTGCGCCGTGCGTGAGCAAAGACTACGCTAAAATTACTACGCTAAAATCCTGAAGCGTTTTCATAAAAAAACAACAACAATAAGGTTTTCATAATCACAAGAACAATTATAAACAATTACAAAGAACACGCAAAACACCGTAATCCCAACAAACAAACAAATTAAAAAAAACATAACAAGTGACAAAACGAGCGCGGGAGTAAAAGACGAGGGGTGGGTGGGGAGGCAGGTAAGGGGGGGGAGGATGGAGGAGGGAGGGACGGGTGGGTACCCCATGGGGCAAATAGGTACAGGGAATAGGCAAAAGGGGGCAGAGAGGGGGGGGGCAGGGAGAGTGGGGGGCATAAAAAAGGGGTATAGGGAGGGTAGGGGGTACTAGGTGAGGGGGTAGGGGGAGTGGGGGGGATCCGCCTTAGGCTTAGGAGCGAAAAGGCGGGAAACGGAAGGGGAAAAAGGCGGGAAAAGTGGCGGTTGACGATAAAGGGGTGGGGGAGGGGGAGAGGAAGGGGAGGAGCAGGAGGAGGAAGAAGAGGGGGGAGGAAGAAGAAGAAGAAGAAAAAGAAGAGGAGGTAGGGTGGGGGAAGAGGAAGAAGAAGAATGAGAAGGAGGAGGAGGAAGAGGAGACGAATAAGAAGAAGAAGGAGTAGAAGGAAGAATAAGAGGAGAAGAACGAATAGAAGAAAAAGAAGACGGAGAAGGAACGGAAAGAAACGGAAACGGAAACGGAAAAGGAGAAGAAAGAAAAGATAAAGACAAAAAAGAAGAGGGCAAACAGAATAAAAGAAGAGAAGGAACAAGAGGACGAGCAAAAACAAAAGAAAAAGGACGAAAAAGATATCCCGAAGGATGGGCGTGTGGGCGGGACCGAGGAAGGAAAATAAGGAAGTAAGAAAGAGAGGAATAGGAGGAAAAAAGGAAAAGAAGAAATAGAGGAAAAAAGTAAAAGAATATCGAAAAATAGGTAGAAAGAATAAGGAAAAAAAGGAATAAAATATAGAAAAGCAGGAAGAAAGAACAAGGGAAAAAAAAGAAGTAATAATATTGTAATACAGAGAAAAAACGTAGAGGGAAAAAATGAAAGAAAGACGAGAGGAAAAAAAGGAGGAAGGATGAAAGGATGGAAGGAGGAGGGAGGAAAATTCCTCTCGGGCGCGGAGGCCTCTTCGCCCGGGCTTGCAACACGATTCCTGCGGAGAAAGGGGGGAGGGAGAAGGGGAGGGGGGAAAGGGGGAAATGAAGGAGGAAGGAGGGGGGAAGGCAAGGAGGGAGGGGGGGGAGAGGCGAGGAGAAGGAGGGGGGAAGGCGAGGAGGATGGAGGAGGGGAGAAGGCGAGGAGGAAGGGGTGGGGTGGGGCGGAAAGGGGAGGGAGGGAGGGAGGTTGAGGGAGACCCCAAAAAACATGGCTGAGATAAACAAGACATAAAAACTCCCCGACGGAGAGACGCACACAAACACACACAACAACACACACAACACACATCTACATGCATATATACGTATTTACCTACGGATGCCTGTATACTATACACCCCTCATATTGTATACATACATACACCCATTACTCAATCTCAAACAATAAACAAATAATAAACAACCGCAAAACAATCACTATATTTCCCGTCCCCCTTCCTCTCCCTCCCTCCTCCCCTTCCTCCATGCACCCTTTCACCCACTTCCCCCTCCCTCCTCCTTATTTATTTTCTCGCAATCTTTTTCTTCCTTTTTCTTTTGCTTTTTGCACGTCCTCTTGCTCCTTCTTTTCTTTTATCCTCTTAGCCCTCTTCTTCTTCGTCTTTTCTTTTTTCTCCCTCTTTTTCCGTTCCGTTTTCTTACTGCTCCGTCTTCTTTTTCTCCTTCTTTTTTCTTCTTTTTTCCCCCTTCCTTCCTTCTTCCTTTCTCTTCTTCTTCTCTTCCTTCCGACCAACGAGAAGAGCACGGGCCAGCCTGCTTGCTTCCGACTCCCGACCTGCCACCCGCCGCCGCCGACTCTCACGCAGACGCTAAGAAACCGTCGCTCCACCCCCCCCTCCTCACAAAAAAATAAATAAGTAAAAAATAAATAAATAAATAAAAAATCTGACAAAGCGCTTATAAGAGAAGAGGGACAGAATGGCGCTATTTCGTCATTTCTGCCCCGTATTTTTTAATATTATTAATACCGTGACTAGAAAATGTCCCTTCTCCCCCCAAGAAAACAAAATAATAATAACAATAACAATAACAATAATAATAATAATAATAATAATAATAATAATAATATTAACAATAATCATAGTAATAACAATAATAATGTTAA